GGGGTGGTGGAGGGAGAATACAATGATGCGATAATAGAAAAAAAAACTTGACAATTTCAACAATGCATTTTTATACTAATTTGGACGACTCACCACAACAAGGGGTTTTTGGAGTTAACCGTCCTAATAAATAGGATGTGGGTCATTCAAATGCAAAACACTTTATTTAGGTTTCCCGTCTGAACGCAAGTAAAAAGGAATTATTCCAAGAAGAACGAAAACAAAATCATTTTGGTCTCGACTTGAAATCGAGTCTTGGCCTTCCGTGTGGCATACTAAGCTTTAAGTCCACTGTCTACAAACTTATGGATAAAAAATGTCTTAACTTTTATATAATATCGAAGAAAGAAATCTGAAAAAACTTGTTTGAGTCAGTATAGCTCTTTGGTCAACGAAAGTCCAAACTGAAAAATAGAAAATTATGACAGAAAGTAAATACAATTGAAATAAAAGACGATAACACTCGTATTGAATAGAGATAAAGAGGCTAATAATCTGGAATCTCAAACTGATCAATATTAGGGGGCTCTCGTGGCCTAGAGGTTAAGGTGTTCGCCTCTCATTTAATGGTCCCGTGTTCGAACCTGGACAGCGACGGAAAACTTTCTTCTCTAAAATCTTCTCCTTTTACATCTGACGTCTGCTTTTGTCTCCTATTTCTGTCTTCACCCCCTCACCTCCCTTTCCCCCTCCTCTGGGCTTCTGACTCTTTCGGCAGCCTTCCTACTGCTATTCCTCGGCTCCTTCTTACTGCTGTCTTTCAGCCACACCCCTGATCTTATGGTAGGTACGGTCTACACTTTGCCTTCTCGGATAAGGGCAAAAAAAATCTCTGAGGTACCATGTGCAAGTTGTGCTAGTTAAAGATCCCTTGGTGGTCCAACATCGATAACAGTAGGCTTCGGCGGCCACCCGGGTAAGATTCAAAATTTCCCACCAAATGAAAATGTTTAATGTGTCCCGCGCGCTCATATGATCCTATGCAGTTGCGAGCGCCGTAAAATACTTACAACACCCCCCCCCCCAACCCCCAATCAATGTTAATGAATTATTCCGTACTTCCCACACTGAAACATGGTGAGCACCATATCGTCAAGTAAACAGTTACACTTCTGGTCCATGACGTCATAACAGGCATCTGGATAACTGCCGTCTGAGAAAAGAAAATGATAGTTGGTTGCTGCTGCTGTTATTGTCTTACTAGTGTTATTGTTGTTGCTGCTGCTGTTATTGTCTTACTGGTGTTATTGTTGTTGCTGCTGTTTTCCTTTTGTATTTTTGAAATAATCCTCCACCCTCCAACTGTTTTGGTGGCAACACTGAAATACTTCTGTAATGAAAAACAATTACTTCACTCCTCTCCTATCTTCATTTCTATCTGTCTGTCTGTCTGTCTGTTTGTTTGTCTGTCTGTCTGTCTGTCTGTCTGTCTGCCTGTCTGCCTGTCTGCCTGTCTGTCTGTCTGTCTGTCTGTCTGTCTGTCTGTCTGTCTGTCTGTCTGTCTGTCTGCCTGTCTGCCTGTCTGTCTGTCTGTCTGTCTGTTTGTCTGTCTGTCTGTCTGTCTGTCTGTCTGTCTGTCTGTCTGTCTGTCTGTCTGTCTGTCTGTCTGTCTGTCTGTCTGTCTGCCTGTCAATCTGTAGCTATCTCTGCGTGTTATTCTCTCTCACTACTCTCCCAAATGCGTGTTTGGCCCCAATCATATTTCACCTCTCTCTCTCTCTCTCTCTCTCTCTCTCTCTCTCTCTCTCTCTCTCTCTCTCTCTCTCTCTCTCTCATTCTTTCTGTGTTAACTGGTGGATATGCGGCATGCCCACGTAGTACATGTATTGTTTCCACCTTTTTAGAACATTGGTTTTGTACAGAGATATCAAATTATCTAGGTCTCTACCAATTTTTGCACCTGATGTCCAGCATATCATATTATTATTTGGCCTGGTTATTACACTAGGTCAATTGCTGTCGGTGGTGCGATAAAAAAAAGTAAATATGGACGAATCCGTGATTTAATTCTTTCTTGTTCAGTTACAAGAGATGGGTCTGCTGGACTTCTTCTTCCAAAATTAAAAGAACAAGTAGACCATCGCCTCTGTCTTTGAGAGGTTCTCATACGGAAATTTGAATTGCAATTTTCCAATTTTCACACTGTTTCATCGAGAATTAATAGTCAAACTATAACATAATCGTTTACCAAATTCCATAATATGTCATGTTAAATATACTTACTTTGCTTTTACTTTTGCTTTTTCATCCTCTGTTGCCGTTAAGCGTCGAGGGGAGATCAAGGAGATTAAAAGTTCTAAACTCCTTGGGGGAGATGCAGTTTTCTATGGTAGGCCAGCTCCGCAGCTCTTTCAGTTGTGATGTTATGTTTTCTTAGGGTTTCCTTGACACCCTCGATCCACCCTTTGCGTGGCCTTCCTCTTCCTTTATAGCCTGAGTGCTTGGTGTTGTAGGCTCTCAAGGCTGGCTGGTCAGGTGACATGCGTAACAGGTGGCCAAACCATTTTATCCTCTGTCTTTCTATGTAACGCAGGCAAGACTCAGTGCCGATAGCTGCTCTTACTTCTTAATTTCTCTGCCTGTCTCGTCTTGTGATGTTAAGGGTTTTGCGGAGACATTTCATTTCGAATGCGGTGATTTTGCTTTCATGGGTTTTGCTTAAGGTCCAGGTCTGGCACTGATAACGTAATGTTGGTATGACTATTCAGGTGATAAGCTGTCTCTTTGTGTCCATGGAGATGTTTGGATGAGATAGAAGGGGTGTGAGCTGGTAGGTGACAGCGTTGGCTTTTTGAGTTCGCATTTCTATTTTTCTGTCTATGGACCCGTTTTCAGAAAAAGTGCTGCCAAGATATTTAAACTCTTTCACCTGTTTCAGTTGTTTACTAGTGACATGGATGTTCAGGGGACTATGGTTTCAGTTCACTTTCATAACTTCTGTTTTTGATGTGCTTATTTTCACGTTGAATTTCTCACAGGTGTTGTTGAGTTCGGTAGTGTGATTTTTGAGGCTTTGTTGGTCATGATGAATTAGACTTTGGTCGTCTGCGAACAGAAATACATTTAGGCTTTCTGGGCTTTGGTTTGCTTCTTGCGTTATTGTGTCCATATATATTATAAACAGGAGGGGAAATAGAACGCATCCCTGTCGTACTCCAGATCTTACTTTGAACCAGGCTGTATTTCCTTCCTTCGTTCTTACTGAGCTTCTGCTGTTGGTATATAGAGCTCTGACATTATCTAACAATTGTCCTCTGATGCCATACTTTTCGAGTGTCTTCCAGAGTTTTGCATGGTTTACTCTGTCAAAAACCTTCTCTTGGTCTATAAAGACGATGTTGGATTCTTTGTTGCGTTCTATTGTTTTCTCGCACATCTGTCGTAATGCAAATACGGCATCCGTGAATCCTCTTCCCTTTCAGAATCCAAACTGAGCTTTGTTCAGATTTCTCTCTACAATAGGTCTTATGCGCGGCTCTAGTATCTTTGGCTACATTTTTCCTGAGTGGCTTAACAATGAGATGCCTCTATATGTTGTGCAGTCGCGTTTGTTGCCATTTTTTCCCATAATGGTACCACTTTGGCTTTCTGCCAGTCTTCTGGGCATTTTCTTTGTTCCTAGGCTCTGTTGAAAATTCGCCTCAGCCACAGTATACCGGTGTTTCCACAAGCTCTTATGGCTTCCGCTGTGATGCCATCTGGTCCTGGGGCTTTGTTCTTGGGGCTGGTCTTGAGTGCCTTTTCTATTTCACTGGGAAGTATTGGTGGGTCTGTTTGATTTCCATAGGATGGTTGGAACTCTACTTGTTGTCCGTGGCAAGCGTCTGGGTTGAGCAGTTCTTGGAAGTAATTTTCCCATCTCTTCTTGACTGCATGTTTGCTGAGAATGGCGTTTCCCTCTTTATCATTTATAATGAATGTCGGCTTGTATGGGTCTTTCCTTATCCGCATGCTCTTCACACTTAAAAAAATTCTCTTGGGATTTCCTTACAGATTTTGGTCAGTTTCTCGCCATATATTTTCCACGCATTTTCTTTAGCAGTTTTGATGATTCTTTTGGTCTCTCTTCTCGCTTCCCTGTATTTTATATAGTCTTCTTCGGTCTTTGACTTCTGCCATTTCTTGAAATTCGTCTTTTTCGTTCTAATTGCTTATTTGGTTTCATCATTCCACCAGCATGTAGTTCTGCCTTTGTTTCCACCCAAGGGCGGACTTTTTCTTCAATGTTTAAGAAATCTACATGTAACCTCGAAAAAAAAATAACGCTCTAAAGCGTACGATTTTTTTCTCTAGATCTCTACTTGGTTGAAACCCCGGCGGCCGACGTAGACCTATTGCCTATTGTGCTACGTGCAGAAAGATGTTTTTGTTTTTTTAAAATCAGGGGAAGGCATCCCATTTCCGCTTATTCGCTGCACGAGTTTCAACCAGTTTTTGTCAGTCAACCTTACATTTTCCAGTTTCTGGGTCTCACGAAAACAAAACGGCGAGTAGCAGTATTTTACAATATGTGCTTTATTATCAATTTAAGATCGTTAACTCTTTGGTTGGGTCAATGTATGATTTCTTCTCAAACTCGTAAAAATGTTGTGACAACAGTAAACAAAGGTACAAAACTGGCCCGTAACTGTATGGGGAAAATGAAATCGGGCTCCTGGAGTAAGGTGGCACATGCCGCACGACATACAGCAATTGAAACAACGGATTTTGACCAAGTGGACGACATTAGTGGATTGGCAGCTGCTGCTGATCTATCAACAGGTGAAGCAACTGAACTTGACGAGGTGGACAAAAGCGATGAATTAGTTGCTAGGCATTCATCAGGTGAAATGAGAGAAATTAAACCAACAAGTGAAAGGGAAACTTTGCCCTTGGTTAGCTCAGAACAGACTGCACATTGGCCTAGTGAACTTTAAGCCACTGGAAGTGAAAATTTCAGGATTTACTACTTTAAGAAACCATGTACAGAAGAAGAAAGATTGTTGTTTTGGAATCACCATCCATGTCAGAAGATAGATAATCGATTGGTGCAAAGAGTTTCATTCGTGAAGACGGTTCTAACAGATGGTGGCTGTCTTACAACAAAGACTCCCATGCACTTCTCTGTTCTGTCTGCTTGATGTTTTCTGCCACTTCAGACACATCCGCATTTCTTGAGGGGATGAAAGACTGGCGGTATGTACTTTCTCCTATTGAACAGCATGAACGTTCATCTTTGCATCTGCAATTCTCAACAGCATACCTGGTTGATAAAAAAAACCAATGAAACATTTCTCACGTGTTGGCGAAGGACTACTGTGATGAAGTCAGAAAGAAACGGCAAGTGATGAATCGAGTTGTGGATGTAGTTTAACTCATAGGCCATAGAGGACTAAGCTACAGAAGAAGTACGAAAGAGGCAGCCTACGCTTTGGACAATGCAGAAATTGACCATGGTGCTTTCCTGGAAATTGTTACGTTGCTACGCAAATGTGATTCATGCACAGCTGATCACCTCTCCCGCGTAATCCATAGCAGCAAGACAAAAAATGAGAAGGCAAACAGTTCGAAAGGCAGAGGCTCATTTGTTACTTTTTTATTCAAAACTACTATGAATTCTATCATCACGGTTATTCGGGATAAGATCCGTTGCTTCATTTCGGAAGAAATAACAGACATGTTTGCTGTAGAAATTGTCACAACACACGACATAGCAACTCGGGACCAGTGCTCATTGCCTTTTGATATATAGATAAAACTGGCAACATCCAAAAAAGACTGGTGAGCATTGTGAAGTGCGAAGAAACTACCGGCGAAGCTTTTGTGCAGATTGTTTCGGAAATTATGCAAGGGTTGAATCTTGACCTCAAAACAATGCGTTGGGAACGCAACTGACGGTGCAGCAAACATGCAGGGGCACTAGAGGTTTCATTACTCTGCTTTCAAACAAAGCTCCAATGCAGATCCATGTTTTGTGCCACGCTCACGTATTGAATCTTGTTGTTTCGGAGGCCACAAGTGCTGTAGTGAACAGTGCATCGCTATTTACTTTGATGAACGACATTGCAGTATTCTTTCGGGAGTCTTATCGGCGGATGGGCATCTGGAGCAGGCACTCGACAACTATGAAGCGTTTGGGAACCATTGGAGTGACCAGATGGGGGTCAAAAGATGCTGCCTTGAGGGAGGTGTTTGGCTCTTTCAACAATCCACTCGAAGCTCTGTTTGTTGAAGTGATCACCAGCCTCAACGTTATACTTGTTGCTGACAACACCCAAGCAGTCGTTAAAGCTAAAGTAAGAGGATACATTGTTGCTCTACTCAAGTTTGAAACAGTTCTCACAGCGAAAGTGTATCTGCAAATATTTCCACGTACTACAGCCCTTTGAATGCCTTTCTAAGTATCTGCAAACCGTGCAATTGGACCTTTTGATGGTATACAAGATGGTGGCGGAGTTGCTGTCAAACATGCAGGCCCTCAGGGCGGACTTCGAAGCTTCTCAAAATGCAGCTGCAAAGTTTGTTCAGTGGGCGAATGATGCACTGGAGGAGAGCGGGTCAGATTCGTTCGTGGAAGAGTCGCTTCCCTTGAAACGGCAAAGACGACGCAGACGAATGGATGATGAATTCTGAACATACGAAGCTACATCAACAGCTGACCCAATGAAGAAATATCTTGTTGAAGTGTACAATCGAATTGTAGACACCCTTGTTAACAGTATTGAACAAAGATTTAAAGGATCTGCACCGCCTAGCTTGTTTGCTGACCTGTCCCTTCTTCATCCAAGAAATTTCGGTGAAGAGTTGCAAAAGTATTTGCTGAGATTTGACGATAATGTCATCGCTGAAGGGTTGCGAACAGAATTGTAAAGCATTGGAGAACAATGAAAATCGCTGAAGCATTCAGTTGCAGACCATTATGAGGTGAAAGACAGCGATATTGACTGTGAATCAGAACTGAGCACACAAAATGTTTGAAATTCCACTGTTACTTGTATCTCATGAAAAGCTTGCCCTCTCTGCTGTTACAAGGTGCTACTCAAGTTGAACCTCTTCACCGAAGATTGCAAAGGCATCGGGGTTTCTTACAAGCTACTACTAACCCTGCCTGTGTCGGAGGTTGCATGCGAACGGTCGTTTTCTGCCCTGAAGAGAATCAAATCACGTCTCCGAAGCACAATGACACCAGAACATCTTGAGGCATTTATGCTGATTTCATTGGAAAAGGAGATCTTGACCAAACTGGACAATGAAGACATCATTGATGCTGTGGCCACCAAAAGCAAAGAACTTCACAGGCATCTGCTCTCCAGCTTGAGTATACTCTGGGCTGAGTTCTTGTGCTAATGTTGTTTAGATTTGGTTGTACAACATGTATGTTGTATATTACAAAGTTGCTTATCACACACACAGACACACACACAGACACACGCACATATTATACACACACATACACATTCATATACACACATATTCACACATACACACACATACACACATACATACACACATACATAGACACATACATACACATATACATTCGTACATACATACAAAACGTACACCCACAATTACGCGCTCACATATATTATGCACACATCCAAAAACACACAAATACAACATGTATGTTTTCGTCTTGTTTCTGTGCTCTAACTAGCAACATTTAAATTCTAATAGTATTGAGGCTTAGAAACATGTTGGATTTGCATGTTTTACCAGGCCTTAGTCGACCGGTGTGGATGACAAATGCCCGGGCCGGTTTTAAGACCCAGTCCGCCCCTGTTTCCACCTATTCTTTTGGTGCCACAACAATTTTTTTAGTATTTCTGACGGGGATTTTTTGAATATTTGCCATTCGTCTTCTATGACCTTGATCTCAGGTGACAGTTTGAAGTACTCTTTGGTAATGTCATCCTGGACTGCTTTCTTGATGTCTGGTTCTTCCAATTTTCTTAGGTTAGTCGTGGTTTTTCCCCTGTTTTTCTTAGTTTGCTTTACGTTGTGGGTTGTGAGAGTAAGAATCACAGGTCTATGGTCCGTGTCGATGATGTAGTTTGGAACCGCTCTCGAATCTTTGTCTGTATGTGTTTGTTTTCTGAGTATCAGGATGAAATCAATTTGTGAAGCATGGTTCAGGTCACTCCATTTGTACCAGGTCTTGATTTGGCTTTGGCTATGTTGGAAAAATGTGTACGTAATCATCATGTCGTGCTCAGCGCATAGGTTTAGTATCATTTCTCCATTGCTGTTGCAGTCTGTATCTTTATCGCTGTGGAGTCCCAAGTACTCTTCCCATGGGCTTCTTCTTCGTCCGACTGATGTTATATATATATATATATATATATATATATATATATATATATATATATATATATATATATATAGAGAGAGAGAGAGAGAGAGAGAGAGAGCGAGAGAGAGGGCGAGAGAGAGAGAGAAATAGAGAGAAAGTAAGAGAGAGAGAGCGAGAGAGAGAGAGAGAGAGAGAGAGAGAGAGAGAGAGAGAGAGAGAGAGAGAGAGAGAGAGAGAGAGAGAGAGAGAGAGAGAGAGAGAGAGTCGAACTGAGTTCTATATTATTACTCCCGCAGACCCTTGAAAACTTTGAAACACCCTCGGTTACAGATAGGGCAACATAAAGTGCAAGTAGCTGATTAAGCCCTCAAAATCTAACATGTCCCCGTGGTTTTATGCAAGAAAAAAATATGAAATTACGCAAACTGAGCCCAAAAGTAAAAACATTATGCGACTCTGTTAATTTTAACAAAGAATGATAAAGGAAAATAATCAGAAATTATGCCCCCCAAAAAATGATCAAATTTTGCTAAATTAAGCGGGGAGAATAAAACCACGGGAACAGTCTAACAAACTTACAAGATCTTTTACTGTCTAAAATCAGCCACCTGTTGTCACTTGGGTGAAGTGAATATAAAACGTATAAAGCGCCTTTCCCAAAGACACAACATCATGCACTAGACGGGGTTCGAACCCACGATCTTTTGGATGCAGCGAGCCAAACAACCTAACCACTAGACCACCGACGCCAATCTGACTTAATAAAAAGCTAATAAAATCTCTATTAGACAAACACGGTTACCTTCATTCGGAGGAAACGGGCATCTGAACCCCATTGACCGAACCTCTAGAAATAGAAGAGAAAGTCATAGCATAATAATAGCAGTATAATGCGGTCAAAAATTCGTGACGCAACTTATTACTATAATAATTATATTCATAGAGCGCTCAACCCCGATTATAGTACACAGGCTCAGAGGGCTTTACAATACAATACAACAGTTACATAAACCATTGGGTTCTAAGCAAAATAAAATCTCTCTAAACATTCATCTTATCAATATTTTGAATGAATCAAAGGATTTTGTCTTTCTTAAACTACTTGGCAAAGCATTTCAGATCTTGGGGCTTGTATATTCAAATACCCTTTCACCTCATAGAAGGTAGAAAGTGTGAGATGACTTATCGGCTTATATTTTATTTCACCGGAAGTACAAAGCTAAAACAACTCCATGTATGGTATAAAAGATGGAAGTGTCTTGGTGGGGTCTACCTAGACACTCCCATAAAAGATAATCCTTTTTAAGATCAAGTTTGTGAGCGCCATAACATCACATGTATTAAGTGGGATTTGAATTGCAGCTGTCAGCTCTACGCATATATTATTTCCAAGATCAAAATAGCTCTTGATCCTAAATGGTCTCAAATGTGCCAAGGGAAAGTAAAACAATGACATTTCAGACAAGATTAAAACAGTCCATTAAGTTTTCTCATTTTATTTCGCCCCAGACACCTATCTCCTTTCTAAATTTGGGTCGAGGTCAATTAAAGACATACGAGGACAAACCTTTAGACCTCTTCACTCTACTGTGGAGTTCTTCGCTGAGGTGCGCTCCTTGTGCCAGTGAAGATACAAGGCTTGCAAAGCACAGCTGTAGAGAAGATTGGGTGAAAAAAGCTCTAAAAAATAAAAGAACACATTATACTCTTTGACTTATGCATGTGTTCCTGAGGCAATAAGTGATGATTTGGGCTATTTAAGCGTGGTTGGAGAGCGCCTCTGGTAGGTCCTGCTCCCTTATTTTCTCTCCATTGTACATGTCTGTCTGTCTTACTTTTTTCCAGCACTGAATGACCATTATGGTGTTGAGGTGCTTCTTTTTACTCTAACAAACAAACAAACAAACAAACAAACAAACAAACAAACAAACAAACAAACAAACTAACAAACAAACAAACAAACAAACAAACAAACAAACAAACAAACAAACAAACAAACAAACACTGAGTTATTTGAATGAAAAATGATATAGTCTTCAAATGACATTTAAAAAAAATCCTTTTCCTGAACAAATATAGCAATATTAGTGTTACGATTACATAATCAATTGTTAGCGTAGTCAAATGCTCGGCAAATTAAATCTTAAACTCTTTTTACGAATGTTTACCTTCTGTCTGTAAAAGGGAAAATCCTAAAAGCTCCCTGAACGTTTCCATTTTGTCTATTTCTTTTCTGTAACCCCATGTTATTCCTTGTGACGTGATTGTGTCTGTCTTTTTCTTTCATAAATTCCTAGGCTTTCTCAGTTCCTGAACTGAGAAAGCCTAGATACACTCCCATATTAATAACTTTTTGCGTCTGTGTTTATAGTCCGGACAACACCAAATGGACAACTTGTCGACCTCATTACACCGAATCTAAAGGGCGAATCTCTCTGATTTTTTTTGCATGCGCCTCTGAATTCTAAAAGACCTAAACTGTCTCGATTTTCTTGCAAATGCGACAAAAATAAAGAGGCGCTGTCTATATAATGATTAGTAATTAATTGCTCATTAAACTCAACACCGCACACCTTTTAAAGCAAGCACAATACTATGCTAATCAAATCAGAGTGTCGTGAGTGTCGTTGCAGGGGCTAAACCAGAAATTTCAGGGGGGGGGGGGGTACAGTTTGGTCAAACCCCAAAACGGGGGTCAACAGAGTGGTATATTTGAAGCTCTACTGGGAATGTCACTGCCCCCCCCCCCCCCCAGGTCCATAGGCAGAGCTGTCGCCCCCCGCCCTTTTACACATACACGTCTGGTTCTTTTTACGGGATTTGTTATAGAAAAAAGAGACGACCTCGATCAACTTCTTTAGTGAAATAGTTCAGTAGTTTTAAGCAACGTTTTTGGGGTTTGTAAGTAATCTGACCTGGGTGATTAATGAAAATGCGATAGCAAATGACGGAAGATATGACAGAAATGTTACTCTACATATGAGTCAATCAAAATAAACTCACTGTCACCCACTAACCACTGGACTGAAAACAACTCAGTCTTGCGGCGCATGCAGTCATTAAAAAAAAAGAAAATTGATTTAAAAAAAAAAAAACCCCAACAAAACCCCCAAAAACCCAAACAACTAACACTTACTACCGTTCTTGGTCTAATGAAAAATACCTGTTCAGACTGTAATTAAGTACCAATGATTATCTACAGAACACCTCTATACATTTAATTTTGTCGGATATGCACGAAAATCATGATTTTTAAAGGTTTTTTGGAATTCAGAGGCGCATGCAAAAAATCAGGATAATCCACCTCTTAGTTTCTATGTAATAAGGTCGACAAGTTGTCCAATTGGTGTTGTCCAGACTATAGCACTGTCAAATATAATGTGTGCTTTTTTTGTTCGCTTTTTATTTTGTTTTCATTCTACTCATTGTTTCTATTTTAAAACATTTCTGTTCTCTTTGCTCGGAAACTAAAGCCCCATTTAGACGTACAGTTCGTTGATCGACAAACTGTAGGATATTGAGAGGCTTAAATGGGACTTAAGATTTAATAGTCGGTGTGTTTCTCTGGATTTGCTGATTAGTTGTTTGTTTAATGCTCGCTTGATTAAATGGTCAATTTATTAATATTCCAGAACGGATTTACGGGTATTTTTTTGGTTAGTGTTTTACGGCGCTCGCAACTGCATAATGTCATATGAGCGCGCGGGACACACCTAACATTTTCGGTTGGTAGAAAAAACTGGACCAAGTAGGGGATTGCTGGGTTCATCGAAGTACGGTGTGGTTTTATGCCACTGAGGCGTCACGCTAGCCGTGAGTGGGCTCTGGTGAAACTGTGACAGGCCTAGCAAGTCGGCAGCGGATTGTCTATTGCTAAAAACACAAATAGAAGAAAGAAACGGACTGACATAGACCGAAAACGATCCGGAAACGTTAAAGGAATACGAGAAAGGATTTGTACTCTTAAAATCTGTGGCCTCAAAGACAAGGAACCAGAACTCATTACTTTCATGGAAAGGTGGAGAATACCAATACTTGGACTGTCGGATTGCCGTTTAAAAGGAAGTGGGAAATCCCAAGACACTCAAAATGGTATAAACGGCGGATAAAAGTAAAGTAAGTAAGGACATTTTGGATTTTGCCTGGGTGGCGGCCGAAGCCTATTCTTATCGATTTTAGACCACCAAGGGATCTTTAACGTGCGCAACTTGCACACGAGTCCTCCGAGATTTTTCGCCCTTGTCAGAGAAGGCTAGGTGTAGATCTTTCCTACCAGAAGATCTGGGGTGTGGCTAAAAGACAGCAGTAAGGAGGAGCCAAGGAGTATCAGTAGAAACGCTGCAGAAAGAATCAGGAGCCCAGAGGAGGAGGCAAAGGAGATGAGGGGTGGAGGCAGAAAGAGGAGACGAAAGCAGACGACAGAACAGTGCTAGAGAGCAGGAAAGGAGGTGAAAGGAGACAATTTTAGAGAAGAAATTTTTTTCGGTCGCTTCCCGGATTCGAACCTGGGACTTTTGAATGAAAAGCCCATACCTTAACCTCAAGGCCACGAGAGCTCCCTATTTATGGGTAATATATATATATATTCCATGCGCGCGCGCGTGTGTGTGTGTGTATGTGTGTGTGTGTGTGTGTGTGTGTGTGTGTGTGTGTGTGTGTGTGTGTGTGTGTGTGTGTGTGTGTGTGTGTGTGTGATACATACATGTACGTACATTGCACACCGAGCTGCTTGAAATCAGACAAACCAATTTCATTAGGGACTGTTTCTTGTGCTTTAGCCTCAGAGCTTAATTTCTAGATTTTCCCCACTTCTTCTGAGATGACAAATCTATACTTGGATGTTTAGTGTAAGCTGGTACATTTACATGTTGTCAAAACTCATTTCTTTATCTATTTCGAGACTCATATAACACTGTCGGTCGGTCAAGACCGGGATGTTATCCGTTGAGTAACTTTTCGTGTGTTGTGAGATTCTGGCTACAATTAAGTAATAAAAATAAACGAATGTAAAACGTAACCAAAGTACTTCACCACCCCCAGCTGATTATGTCCTGGCAAAAAACAAAGCGTGTCAGTGCATGACAAAACTTCATTACTCTATTATTGGAAGGCTAGCGTACCCTTTAACAATCAATAATAACTAAAACACTAAAAGTTTTTTTTTATAGCAGATTCCAGGTCATAAACTGTATCAAAAATAGAAGTCGAATAATATCTGCTGAAAGCAAAGGAAGCATACAAGAATTAATTTTTAAACTTTAACTCAAAACGTTTCAAGCACAAAGCTGACGGCTTAACTGCCTACTGCCTATAGTTTACATCAGTTGAAGAGATCAAGATTTTAATCCTGCTTGGTTTGCAGAACGCTTTTAAAATTATTATTATTATTATTTTATTTTTTTTTTACAGATTTGCAGATCGTTACACTACCGGGCTCGACGAAATCGTGAGATTGAGGGTTTGGGGATTCGAGGCTGAGCTCAGTCCAATTTTGTGTCTCTTGGAAATGTACTGTGCACACATTCTCCTATCTGGATCGGTCCTATCGGAGACGTACTTTAGATTCGGGGATCCAGCCTCTGAAATAACTTTACAGAGTTGCAAGGTGATTCAAATCTAGGTATATTTGCATTGTCAATTGGACGCTGACAATGCTTTTGGCGGATAAGGTAGCCTTCATTGAGCTCAGGTTAAAAAAGCGTCCGGGTAACACTATTATGTGTCACGATACGGCAGAACCAAGCGCTCGTCAAGTTTTGGGCATGTGGATTTATTGGTATCATGTTAAAACGTGTTCATTTGGCTATCTACCTTTGAAAATAGACACTATATTCTATCTATCTTGAATAGAACTCAAAATAGTATTAAGTGAGAGTAAAGGAAGTTGAAGCTGCCTGGTTTCAGAGATCAAAATATTGAGAAAATGGCCGCCAAAGTTTGATCACCTCTATAGTTTGAGAGTCTTTGGAAACTGAAAATTTACATATTGTGTGTCTTCAATTAACGTTTTTCAGTAAACATCCACACATAAATGTATTTTTTTAATGGTCCTAAAAAGTGTCGACCCCCCCCCCCCCTTTCCAATATAAAAATCAGTAGTTGCCAAACCGTTAGAAAAATGATGGGGATTTTTATTCGATTTCATTATTTTGACGAACGCCTGATTTCAACAGGATGCCTCATATATCATAGAAAACAACCGCCAAAAATGACAAAATCAGATTTTCAGTTAAATAAGTTAGACCATTACCAGTGTTCAGTTGCGTACATGAACTTTTAGTACACTATGGAAGACTATTCCTCCTCAACCAATACTGTCATCTAGGTTTTAGGCATCAAAATCCCTATAACCCGGCTCCAATTTAACCTGTTTGCGTAAAATAGTCATCAGATTGAATAGAAATGAATGGTCTAATCCAGTGGTTTTCAAACTTTTTTCGCCCACCGCCCCCTTTTTCCACCCAGCCGAGTCCCAGCGCCCCCTACTCCTCCCCACCCATCAATCTGACATAGCGATATGCATACAATCACAAATATAGAGAGAGCTCAAACAGTAGGGTACAAAAGAACGTGCCTAAATTCTAATGATTTGGTTCTGAATAGAAACATTACTTGGGTCACTTTATAGAATCTAAGTTATGCGTGTA